GGATGGATGTGGATGGGGTGCCAGCTGAGGACTCAGCCCCAGTTTGGGTGAACTCAGAAAGATGATTGATTGTTGGTGAAGCTCCTAAGGTATGTCTAGTAAAGATCTGCTAAGAAAAAAGTTTGGATGGTTAGCAGTTAGATTCAGAGTGTGAAAATGAAGCTCATGAAAAGGTCACTTAACTGTCAACAGTAACAGCCAGGTAAGCATTTCAAACAAAGAGTGACTGAGTGGGTTTCTGAGGATGGAAAGAGTTCAAGGAAGTTTGTGCAGACTGATGATTTAGGTGTGAGGCAGGAATCTGATTAAAGAAAAGATGTTGAATGGTATATAGGATTCACTTCTTTATTGGACCCTTGTTCATTTCTTGGGTGGGAGGCTTTGATCTGTTATAAGTGTCAGGAGCAAAGGTCTCCTGGTGGGGATAACCCATCACTGAAAATTTCAACAAGGGGTTTGGTTAGACCGATGAATTTGGAAGTGTATTAGCTCTTGTACCATGAGATTTAGAGTCTGCTTCAGAGTGATATTTGTTCAAACTCAAGTATTGTCCTGATTCATAAAGCTTGGGCCATTCTCAATTTTGTTTTTGTTTTGTTTTGATATGGGTCTAAAATAATTCTGAAAAATGCTTTCTGCCATACAGCAGTGGTGGGCCGCTACGGGCCCATGTAGCGTTAGCATAGCGGCGCCAACAGCTGCTATTTTTTGTGTAGGTTTAGCGCGCCGCTACTGCTGCTGTGCTACACTAATTAGTAGTGGCACTAACACTAGCCATTTTTTTGGTGTAGTGTTAGCGCGTCTCTGGTGCCGCTCCGCTACAGTGTTTTTAGCGGCAAAAAAAGCCTAAAACCCGCTAAAAACTGCTAGAATGCAGTGTAGCGGGCGCTTCTTTGCGCGCTGTGTATGTAGCATTAGTGCAGATGGGGGGGGGGATTGTGCTAACGCTACGCTAAACAGTAGTGCTTTTTTTGTGCCCCATGCGCGTAGCGTTAGCGCAGAAAAGAAGAAAAGCGCTAACACTACACTCAATTGTAGCATTTTTTTTGCTACACTACGCCACACTAACACTATGGTTAGCATAGCTGGCCCACCGTTGCATACAGTGTCCCATCCTTTGCTTCTCCCCTTCCCTGCTCCTACCCAGCAACCCAAGGCTTTGTTGCAAACCACCAATAACCCACAAGTACTATAAGATGAAAGACAAAACTAAAAAAATTCAAAGCTTATGGGTACTAGGGAGCTCGCGGCTTTGCCGTGCACACTGTACCAAAACATACATGTGACCAACACTGAAACAGATACGGTATCTGCCATGTATCACTCCATGTATCTGTATCTGGCCAATGTGCTTTTATTTGCAAGGAGATGCAACAAATTTGGTTTTTGGCCAGACAGCTTTGCGGAACTCTCCATGATACACACAGTGTATCGTATCTGTTACAGTGTTGATTCATTGTGACCAACTGCCAGACCCACGCTTTGCAGTACTGGTCTGTTACCACACCCGGGCCACAATCCTTAACCAGTTCAAATCAAACAGCTCACAACACCAAACCGCATGTTGATGCTCAACATTGATTCTGACTCTCTTGCCCAAACCCAATCTCTATAATCCTGAACCTCCTCCATACTTTTACATTATCTTACCTCTCTAACCTAATCCCGGGGTTCTTCCCAGACTTCACTCCATTTAACAAGACACCACCTAGGTCTTCCCTCTTTACTGCCCAGATTAGGAGTTCTTACATAGGTTACCTTATCCGGCTCAAAGGCCCCAACCTAATTTCAATGTTCACTTATTCCAGCTATTTCCTTGAAGAGAGTGATCCTTTCACAAAGCACAATTAAGGAAATTGGGTAATGGGGTCAAGGATTGGTACAGTTGTTTGAAAAAGTAAAAAGTTGCTGGCAATGGGCAAAGGGGGCAGAAAGTTGATTGAAATTGGGATGTGAAACAGGTAGAATAGGAATATTTAGATACGATTTGTTTGGCAGAATCGGGGAACAACAAACATAGAACAACGGCTTGTGATCCTGTTATGGGAAGGTGTGTTCAGTCATTGGGATTGGACCATTCCTTTACGTTGGGGGGGTGCGGTTTGGAAGTGTGAAAAGGAAGCGTGGAGGGAGGT